AAAAAAAGGGTTTAGACCAGTGTCAATGGGAGGAATGGGACAGACCAGCTCCAGTTCACGCCTACAGGGACCCGTGCCTGTGCCCTTCCCCACCACCTGGAGGCGCCACCAGCTACTCCATGCCCGGAGGCGGGCTTCAGAGGAGGCCGTCAGGGAGCAAAGAGAGAGGTCAAGGACTGAGAGAGGTCAAGGACTGGGAAAGATGGAAGAGAACTGAGCCAGGCCTGGAGGATGCAGGGGGGACACAGGCAGGTGACCTAAGCTGGGACGGAGAAAGAAGAAAGCAGAGAAGGGACCGTGAGGCCAGATGATAAACGTGCAGAGAAAGGAGACAGAAACACAGGGGCTGGGGGACTAACACGGTAACATGTAGGACAGGAGGACGCAATGCCTGTCCCCACCGCCCGACACTGATGGTCGTGGTAAAACCAGCGGGCACCGAGGAGGTAACAGGCACTGCGCCCGGCCCCACCACACGCTCCTTCTTCCCGGTTCTCCCTCTGTCATCTGTCTCCCACCTCCTTGTCCTTTAACCGCCACACATGGCACCTTTCAGTCCTCTCTGTTCATGCACCTGCCACAGACCAGGGCTGAGAGCCCTGCAGCCAGGACCCTGATCCGGGCTCTGCTCCTGGAGTGCCAGGTGGTGCTGGCAGAGCTTCGTTAACGAGCCTTCCATGAGCATGGTGAGGGGATAACAGAGCAGCCGTAAAATAACTGTAAAGGCGCCGAAGGATCAGACACTATAGATTTTTTAAAATATATTTGTATTGATTTCAGAGAGGAAGGGAGAGGGAGAGAGAGAGAAACATCAATGATGAGAGAGAATCATTGATCAGCAGCCTCCTGCACACCCCCTACTGGGGATCGAGCCCACAACCCGGGCATGTGCCCTTGACAATAATCAAACCTGGGACCCTTCAGTCCAAAGGCTGACACTCTATCCACTGAGCCAAACAAGCTGGGGTCAGACATTATAGAGCTTAAGCTATTTCTAGGATGGAACCCCTCAGATCCCTGGGGGGCAGCCCCTCGCCCCAGACGCTCAAGTCTTCTGCCGGATCACCTGACCGAGCACCGTGGCCTGTGTGGCTGCCCCTGCACACCTCACAGCCACCTGACTCCCCATCAGGAGAGGGGGCATTGTGGGGAGCAAGCCACACTGGAGTGGAGGGGTCGGCGGGCTCCCCACATTTTCTAGGCAATTACTCCAGACTGAGGTCAGAGACAGGGACCTGGAGCTGGAGTCTAGGAAGTGTTCCCAAAGCAGATCTAGGCTTTTAGCACGTGGAGTGATCTGGGTGGATTTCCAAGGAGCCACTGAATATGTATGAGGAAGAGAGAGAGGGAATGAGTATGTGAATATGGAGGAGAGCAGCAAGAAGAAGAAAGATGGACAGAGCAAATGGGGAAGGAAGACCTCAGGGGCGATGGCGTGAAGGTGGTCAGGTGGACGCAGGGAGGGAGGACAGGGAGGAACGGAGAGCAGGAAGAAGGCTCTGGGAGGAAAACAAAGAGGCCGAGAGAGCCGAAGCCAGGATCTGGTGGAGCAGCAGATGGAGCAACAGAGACAGAGAGCAGAGCCCTGGAGGAGGAGCAGGCCCGTGCGGGCCGGGCAGCCAAGCCCCGCAGGTTTCCGTGGGCAGCAGATGCTGACAGGGAGCACGTGGAGCCTGTTGACTCCGGGCCCAGGGCCACCTCCTCGGCAGCGAGCCTGAGCCCGCAGGGGCCGCTAGGCCCAGAGAGGCCGGTGAAGGACAGCCGGGCCCTGTAGGGCTCCAGCTCTCCTCCACCCTCCTCCTGGCAAGTCCAAGGAAGCTGGTCAGCTGCCACCTCCCCCTGGAAGGAGGTGGCTGCCTGGAGGGTGAGGGTGAGCCGTGCCATGGGTGTGCATGTGTGTTCATGGATGTGCCAGCTGGCGAGAGGGGCAGAGAGGCGGAGCCATGACTCGGGGTGCAGGACCTAGTCCAGCATCTGGGCTGCACGGAGGTGGGGTGGGTGGCCCCAGGGGAAAGGGCGGGCGTTCCTTCTCCCCTGGGTGCCCTTGTCTCTGTGTCTCAGCTGCCAGCCAGCCACGCCACAGACCCCTCTTGGCAGGAAGGAGCTGGGTACACCCTGGGGTTCTGAGTCCAAAGAACCAGGAGGGTCCCACTCTCTCCTGCTGCCACCCCCCCGTCTGTTTCCTTTCCCTGCTGCGTGCGGACAGAGAGAAGCCGATACCATGACTCTGGTGCCAGTGACCCTGCCCCAAGCATGCCCTCTGGAAGGAAGGAAGCTCAGAGGTGCCTGCTTGCCTCTCCCTGGTGCAAGGCCACCGCCATGCTGCCCGCCACCACCGACTTCAACCCCTAAGGGACCCCGAAGGGACCCGATGTCAGGCTCCCCAATGTGCCTGGGCAGTTAGCTCCACAGGCTGGAGGAGTGCCTCACTGCTCCTGCACCCAAGGTCAAGGGCTCCTGCCAGTGGCCCCAGAGTGGACCAGAGCCCTGCCCTGGGGGGGAAGTGGCAGAAGGAGGGGCGCCAGGGGGGAGCACAGAGGCGGAGAGGAGGCGCAGGGAGAGAAAGGCAGGTACCGGAGCCAGATGGGCCTAGCAGAAACAGAAGTTAAGTAGGAAGAGACGGATAAACAGCAGACACCACGCAACCCGCCAAACATATGCTCCGCAAGCCGGCAACACAGCACCCAGTAGGGGTTTGGGGGGGGAGGGCCGCGGACCCACGGGGAGGGGGCATTGGGTTCGCTGTGGGCTGACAAGTCAGAACCAGGGAGGCCGTCCTTCTCCGGGGAACCCCACAGCAATGCAGGGCTGCGTGGGGGGCGGGG